TTTCCTATGTGCTAATTTCTTTTGCATCTGCTTGTGTTGCACTCAATCTGCATTCCTTTATTTCTGAACCTTCAGGATTCCCAGTACGCCTATCTGCTGTTGCTGCATATATTGTCCACGTGCCATTTTTTGTGTTGTCCTTGCCTTTTCTCATCCCTAATTCACAAGTGATCCATGAGTGGAGTTTTGAAGTTTTAAGCTCTGCTGTGTTCCTTGCATATCTTAATGTCTATATGAACTGAGTTTCTTGTTGTACCATATGGTATAACCTCAAAAATTCTAGCTAGAAAGTGCTGCCTCATCAACAACAAACTAGATACCTTATTTCCAGTTCTTGTGACATTTGTTATCATGCGTATGCCTTCCCCAGCTTGCCCTCCAGTGGATTGAGCACTAAGTACTAATACCACCACTAGGAAGTTAGGCCAGAAGAAGGACCTGCTTTCAGTAGTGTTTCCTGTACCTTTGTACCATCCACGATCATGTGTGCAGCTGTTCCTTTTGTGAGTACCTGCGTGGGTTTGTTGCTGCAATTATGTAGCGCGGTGTCTAAATTGTAAGCAAGTAAAGTACGAGCAACAAAGACCTGGTGGTTTGCTTCAGAAGATAGAGATTCCTGAGAGGAAGTGGGAGCGTATCACTATGGATTTCGTTGTTAGACTCCCACAGATTCAGAGGAAGTTCGATGCAGTTTGGGTTATTATGGATAGACTGACCAAGTCAGCACATTTCATTCCAATGGCAGTTTCCTATTATTCGGAGCGGTTGGTAGAGATTTATATCCGTGAGATCGTTCGTCTTCACGGTGTGCCCGTGTCTATCATTTCTAATCGAGGTCCGCAGTTTACCTTGCATTTCTGGAGGGCAGTACAACATGAGTTGGGTGCGCGGGTCGAGTTGAGAACATCATTTCATCCTCAAACGGAAGGAGAGTTCGAGTGTACTATTTAGATCTTGGAGCATATGCTTCGCGCCTGTGTTATTGACTTTAGAGGTTCTTGGGATCAGTTCTTGCCATTAGCGGAGTTTGCCTACAACAACAGTTATCAGTCGAGCATCCAGATGGCTCCCTATGAGGCATTAT